TAGTGCTGAAATGAAAACCAAGAGATCACAATCCTCAAGGAAGAGATTTACAACTACCAAAGCCATTTGCAATGTTGGAGGATATTCAGATCACAATCCTCATTTTTGTACAATTTATTTACTTTCCTTGTGAGTGTTGGAGAATAATGCAAAATATTGATACAGGTCTTTGGCTACAGCTTCTACTTGTCTAAGTAAAATTTAAGATTCAGATTCCATATTAACTGTATGATTTGTTTTTCTTGTTGTGTTTGATTTGCAGGATCATCAATTGAAAGTTGAATAGAAAAGATGGAAGATCATCCACATTTCTATCTGAATGTGTCACAAATTTTTTCGATAAGAATCCGAAACAGAGATCCCGGAAAATATGTTATAACAGATGCATCGCAATAGAACAACATACTACTCTTACGATGACCGAGTCTGAATGAATTTCTTGCTTCTTCATAAGGAAATTGAGTATGGTGATGAGGTCTTGTTGATCTTGTTCATTTGCAAATGCTTTGTTCCAGCAACTTTAAACCAAGAGACCATAATGCTAAAGGATATGATTGAGAATCTGAAAACAAAAAGAGAAGACAAAATAGCCTCACAAAGAAGTAAAAGGTGAGTGGAAGAAGCAATGGCAAAAGCATAGAACCAATATAGCTTCTCTTTGAGAATGAAACGCATAAATGTATAGTTATGATTCTGATTGGTAACCTAAAGCGGTATAAGTTTTTCAGCTGTAATCTAGAGCGGTACGCTGTTACAACATAGTGTAAAGCTGTAAAAAATAGTTGTAAGAAAAAACTGTACAACTAAAACTGAATATAACGTTTTTGATAAAGTGTTTGGTATCGGTTTTGTGATTGGTACAATCTTAAATGTTACAAATTATGAAGTGGTTTTAAGTTTATTAAGATTGTTACCAATCAAAGCATTTGAGATGACATCAAACGAGTGATTTATTAGTCCATTATACTCGTGAGTAGTGTGTCTTATTAGTGTGTTTTTCGTAAGCTATACTAGAAAAGAATATCTGAAACCAAAATCAAAGGGAAAAGAAACAAATCAGTGATACCTTGTCATGTCAGGACGTTAGATGCTTTACCCTAAATTCATCAAAATCATTTCTTGATAGGGGTCCCAATGGAAACCAATGATCAAGAACAAGAACACAAGTGCTTTTGGGTAGTTAAGACTGCAT